ACTAAGTTAAAATAAAAAATATATGTAAGTTAAAATAAAAAATATATGTAAAACTAAAAATGTAAAATAAATATACAGGGTATGCCAGTATTCGCGCTTCAATAAAACACCTCAGTTAGACAGGGCGTTAAAGAGTGTAGGTCTTATTAACACTCTATGTGACAGAGAAAAAATGTTTATAGAGAAAAATGTTTCCAAATTGATAGATATATACATTAAAAAAATATTTATTTACAAATTGGTTGTAGAAAAAAAATATAGTAAAATATTATAAGTTAAGTAGCTGCGTGAACCCCCTGTATACTGTATACAACCAAATAATTATTCTCAATTTAGAAAAATGTGATTTGATATTATAACAGAATTAACTTTTCATAGTGTGAGCTGTTTTTGAAAAAGTGGGTGAATAATATTGTAATTTTGGTTGAGACCCTATACACCCATGAGTTCCAAAAAAAATTAACCAAGAAATTAAAAAAATTATTTAATTAAAAATAATTTCAAAAATAAATATAGATATAGTAAGCCAAAAAGAACGAATTATAAAAAAATTAAAATCACAATAAAGTAGCACTATTTTAAAAAAATCTTATGAAATATTATTGAAATCAGCTAATAAAGCTAATATTTTTCTTAAAAATGTATATACAAATATTATAAAAAAACAATAAATATACACATATTTCTGTAGATTAGTAGTGAATACGAAAAATTAATAAAACACCAGTAAAATATTTCAAAATCTTCGTGTTATCTGTTTTTGAAAAACGGAGTGAATAATATCTATTGTGATTTTGGTTCACCCTATAAGTGCTAATAAAAATTGTTACCAAGTTTAAATAACTATTTATTAAACAAATATTTAAAAAATGTAATATGTAGATGTCACTAAGAAATATAGTATAATAAAAATAAAATTACAATAAAGTAGCCTGGAAAGTAGCATTATTTTAGGAAAATCTAATGAAATTAGATCATTGAAAACAACTAATAGTTTTTCTTAAAAAATTCTATACCAAATGTCCAAAAAAGAAAACAAAATATATAAAATATATTTCTGTAGAAATTAGTAATGGACGAAGAAATAGTAAAATATCATTAAATATTTAAAAATCTTAGTGTGTCTGTTTTTGAAAGAATGGGTGAATAATATTGTAATTTTGGTTCACCCTATATATCTATAGGTACTAAAAAAATTGTTACCAAGAAATTTCAATAGCTATTTAATAAAAAAGTATTTAAAAAATAAATATAGATAGATAAAACAGATAAAAGTCATAGAGACAGAGTTTAACAGAGTATAAATAAAATATTACAATAAAGTACCATTATTAAAACAAAACAGCTGATAACATTCCTTAAAAAATTCTTCGCAAATATTAATAAAAGAAAATAAAAATATATTGGTAATTACATATTTCTGTAGAGATTAGTAGTGGATGAAAAGTTAATAAAATATCAGTAAACTATTTGAAAATCTTGCCAGAAGCAACAAAAAGATATTATCAACCCCAAGCACATAGTCTCTAAGAATTAAACAAAATCAATGAATTAGCAAGCAAAATTTACTAGCTTCAGAAAAACTATCAATAACTTTTGTTTAAATGCATCTTTTGTAAAAGAAACAACATCTAATGTAATACATCTAACACGTGCGTTTATAAAATGAATGCAAATATATTTAGAAAAAAATAATCAATGCACAATTATAATAACATAGATTATAGAGAAATATTTCACAAACTTAAAAAACAAGGAACCGCAGTATTTTAATTTTTAGGGTTTAGATCTTGTTTAGATCAGTTTCAAGAAAAAGATCAGCTGATTATCAATTAAATTCACTAGTTATTCTTCATTGAATATTTTACTAATTAAAGCAGCTACAGGCAGATGCCAATTCTGTGCTTTACAGCTTTCTACACCTTATTTAGATTATTTTATAAAAGATGTAAAACATAAGTATTCCCCTATTATATAATATCTTTAAGAAAAACCATATCAAATGCACTACTACAGAAAATTGAGTGGTTATAAAGGTGCGTTTACACCGGCTGCGCCGCACAAAACATTTTTTTAACATGTACTTTTGAAGTGTATTTTTTTAGCGCGCACTAAAGTATATGTTAAAAAAATTATTTGAACGGAGCGGCGCAGCCAATGTTAACGCACCTTTATACATATATTCACTTATATAATTTTTTATTTCTTTTATTTCTAAAATACTATGTATGTACATCAAGATATCTAAGTCTAAAAATTATTTATTTTAATACATAGATATCCTGTACAACCATAAAAATAACAAATTTAGAAAACTGCCAATTCACAAAAAATTACATCTTTTTATAGCAAGCAGAAATTATAAAAAAGGCGAAACTTTTATACACTGCCTGATAAAGCTTCGACCAATCGGAAAAGAAATTACGTTACATTCAGCCAATAAAATTGCTTTCAAGCCAGCCTCTTTAAGAGCGTCCGATTTGTCGAAAAATATCAGGAAATTCATAGGAAAATGGTCGTACTTACCATCTCTCGAGTCCAGCTGGGCCTTACCCGCGATTGTACCGAGCAAAATGTGTAAAGGCGCACATTCACACCCGGAGTGCAGCACGTCTGGATACAGCGCCCGAGCTCAGGTACGACCTGAGCTATATGACGTGTCCAGACCCATACCGATCCTTAGTCCATTCCATCCAAAGGCAGCTTGGTTTCTTTGCGAGTTGAAGATCTATTGCTGTGTTGGTGTGTTGTTCGTCATCTCCTTCTTCACTGGCAGTGTGGTCCTTGGATATCCGTAACCCTGGATAATTTTTGGCATAATCTGAAAAAAGACAAAATATCTTTCAGATACATAGTTCATAATATGTTCCTGATACACTCATCCCGATCCACTCACACTTTTTTGAGCCACTCTATAAAAATTAAAATATTTGCCTGAAATACATCCTCGTACATACTTTAGGTTTGCACTTAAACGAAATTCCCAAGTTTTTTTATTCTAGGAACTACAGATGTCCGACGCACTATTGCCAGACCCTGTACAAGACCAGAACATCTAGAAACATAAAAACCTAAGCAAAAAGTCTCTAAGAAATAAATAAAATTAATGAATTAGCAAAGAAAATATACTATAGCTTCAGAAAAACTATCAATAATAATCCTACCTACAATATTAAGTACTAATTATTACCTTATATTAAGTTTCCAAATGTTATTTGGAATAAATACAGGCAAAAGTATTTTTTCTGTGTTTTAGAGCTTCCTAAAATCTATTCAGATTATTTTATAAAAGATTTATTGCATAAGTATTCTTCGATTATATAATATCTCTAAGAAAAACCATATCAAGTGCACTACTATTCGTAATATTCTTCAGAAAATTGATTGACTATAATTTATTCGCTTATATAATAAAGGTTTTTATTTCTAAAATACTATATTCATCAAAATATTTAAGTCTGAAAATAATTTATTTTAATACAACTGTAAACGTACAACCGTAAAAAAGAACTATTTATAGCAACAGAAAGTATAAAAAAACAAACAGAAAGAAACGGAAAGTTTAACAAAATAAAGGTGGCTTTGACTTTTTTTGTTGATCTTGCGCTTCTACCGGCTGCCTATAGATAATCGGATTTTTGAAAAATATCCAGAAATTCGTAGGAAAATGGTCGAACTTACCCTCTCTAAGAGTCCAGCTATGTACTACACATGATTTCCGAGCGCAATATACACACCAATACACACTAAAAGGCACTTTTCCTTAAAAATTCTGGAGAGGTAATCGACAAAAACATTATTACATCCTCGTCAACGGTCCGTCTAGAAATGACGATGGACCGAAACGACCAATAATATTGAGTTTTTGGCGCTCGGTTTCTGATTTTTGACGCTAGAGGGAGCGCCAACTGGCGCTTTTCTTCTGTTTACTGATGAAAAATTATGTAATTTATGACCTAAATTTCAAGTTTAAATGAAAATTTAGCAATATAACGCTACATTGGAGAAAAACTTGTTTCTTGGAACAACTTTGTTGTTCCATATTTTCCGAAATAATGTAATATTTAGTTAAATAGAGACTTATTACATCTTATAAATTATAAAATAAAAGGCAGTAATACCCCGCCTATTTATAACTTCTATCTACAAGACATTTTCTTAGTCAATGTTTGTTTGCTTTTATTTCACCATTTTTTGCTTTTATTTTACCAATTTTGCTATCAATAAAAAACCTCATTTAACATGATTCTGTGCTGTACAAATTATGTAATTGTAGTTTTTTTATCAATTCTCAAGCCCCAAAACAAGAATATATTATATATGTATAACTTACTACTTATTAATAACTACAAGATATTTACTTTTACAGTTGAGGGTTGGAACCTTTGGTGTTAAACAGCAAAATAAAAACACTAAATCACCACAATACACCAAAACACTTTTACTTTTACACTGGACGCGCGTTTCGCTAACCATGTTAGCATCATCAGCAGATGATTATAAACTAGTTTATAATCATCTGAGGTGATTTAGTGTTTTTATTTTGCTATTTACTTTTATTTCACTAATTTATGCCTTGAAATCATTAAAAAAAGCACATTTAACAAGATTCTGTGCCCTACTAATTATGTTTGTGTAGATTTTTAACAATTTTCAAGCCCAAAACAACACAAAAAAGCTGGTATTTTTTATTAATATCTAAATAGACACACAATCTGGCAACATCTACAAGGTACGCACGTCTCGTATCTATGAGTAAGTGCAGCAAATAGACCATAGAGAAATAGCTATATTCTGATATTACTTTCTCTATAAAGTAGACGTATCAAGAACAGTAATTAAAAACACACCATCAATAACTTCTTTTACAGCATACAGTTACAAAAATCCACACAAATTTGCACTTTATAATACATCGAGGGTTGTGAATACATTTATTACATTTGCACATAGATAAAGAAAATATGCACATGATATCCACACTGTACTTGACTGTACACGTCATACGTCATCGTAACAATTCTAACCTTAAATTTTTATCATATATTTTTATTGTCCATATCGGCTTTATCAAAATACTAGTTTTCCAGTTCTACTTTTTTATAACTAAAGTGTTTGGTAGATTTTTACGAAAATATAAAAATTTATCCGTCATGTTTATTAAAAGACGATATTTTCTTATATGTGCTTTACTGATAACTTTTGTTAGCTTAAGTTCTCAACATGATCATGACCACCACCATCACCACGACGAGGTTGATCCACGTCCAGCTTTCAAGTATTCAAAGGAAGCTAATGAAAAATTTAAAAGTGCCGGGGAGAGTCATTCCCACGAAAAACCAAACGTACAAGAGAAAATTCCAATAAGGCCTACAAACGAACTCTGGCTTAAGGCAATGGCTTCCACATTGCTTATAAGTGCTGCTCCTTTTTTAATTCTATTTTTAGGTATGTGGCTTATTTGTTCCGTTCCTTATAAATTAAACAATAAATATTTTAGTTCCTCTTGACAACACTGATAAGGAGAAACCATTATTAAAAATTCTACTGGCTTTTGCATCGGGTGGGCTTCTTGGTGATGCATTTCTGCATTTGATACCTCATGCTACATTGGGTGTGGGAGATGAAAACTCTGGCCACCATGGCCATGGACATAGTCATGGGGCCCACGAGGGAGAGCATGAACATGACATGTCGGTAAATGATTGTAGTTTATAGACACATTGATATTTTATTAATATTAATTTCATTCGTTAGGTAGGATTATGGGTGTTAGCTGGAATATTAGCATTTTTAGTTGTTGAAAAGACTGTCAGGATTTTGAAAGGGCCTCATAGTCATTCACATTCTGCCCCAAAACCTAAAGAAACAAACTCAAAAAAATCTACTGACAAGAAGGAGAAAAATAAAAAGACTGACAAGAAAGACAGTATGTAAAATCTACAAAGGTATATTGATTATTAATTTTTAACTATTGTAGTTCAGAAAAAAGAAGAGCATCACGAACCTATTAAAGTGGCAGGTTATTTAAACCTTGCTGCTGATTTTAGTCACAACTTTACTGATGGTCTTGCCATAGGTTCCTCATATCTAGCTGGAAACACTGTAGGAATAGTAACCACAATAACAATTTTACTACACGAAGTACCTCATGAAATTGGAGATTTTGCCATATTACTTCAAAGTGGAGTTTCAAGAAAAAACGCTATGATGTTGCAACTCACTACTGCATTAGGTGCCATAGCAGGTAATATAAAAATATCAGATACTATATTTATATACAGTATGCCCCTGAATTGTCTTTACAAGAGGAACAACATACATATCTATACAGGGAGAATAAAATATAATTTTACACCAGAGTTATAGTTTTTAAATAAAATGCTGTAGGTAAATTTTCTTTTTGTCCAAAATACCATCATTCTTTAGAAAAACGGATTAAAAATCTCAAACAGGAACTAGATATGGAACTTTTCTGAAATAGTGGGTCATCCTGTAGATATACTTTTATTAGACTTGAACAGAACCTCAGAAATTAAATAGCAATTGGATTTTTTCTCATTATTTTTGTTATTGGAACAGATGTTCAGCAAAATAATAAAATAACTTTACAGAATTTGTCTCTATACAATTTTTAAAAAGAACAAAATTATCAATTATTCACCTCAAATGATAAATTCATGTGTTCTCAAGAATTTACAGTCTTATTAAATCTAATCACATTGAAAAATAGTTTAATAAAATTAAATATCATGCTAATCTTTGAAGGTACCATCACTAGCAATGTGTTTTAATTAATTTTTAGGCACAGCTATATCGCTATTTGCTCAGAATAGCGCAGGCGCAAACGCAGCTTCCTGGATACTGCCTTTTACTGCTGGAGGTTTCATTTACATTGCACTAGTGTCTGTTATTCCAGAATTATTAGATGAAGAAAAGCCAAGTTTCAAGAACAGTCTTTTGCAGATTCTTTTTATGCTTATTGGCGTGTTTATGATGGTCCTTGTAGGAATGTTTGAATAGAAAAATCCTTAACACGTGCTTGCACTGTTAAGTCAACTAAAAAAATAAATACAAAATAAAACTACTTTTTTTCAGACATTATTGATTGAAAATGGAATTTGGGAAGTCTTAGAATATAGATTGTTATGTATAATACCTCAATTAAATAGGTAATTTAACTCAGAATACAATTAGGTATCTAAAAAGGATCAGTGTTTTTAGATATAAGACATAAACTCTGTTACCTATTTGTTTTATAAAGTAGTCTATAATCTTTTTGAATAGATTGTATAGCAAAATATTTTTTAACTGTGATGACTGTGTAATTTAGTTATTTTCTGAGTGGACTTCATGGTTGAGTATGTTTTATTGGATTAGAAATATTTTTGCTTTTCTATATAATCTTAAGTAAATTGAAATTAATTTAAGCAAATTTATACAGACAAAAATATATTTATTTTTATATGCTGAAGAGGTTAATATTATTTTATTTAAATTATTTACAACAAAACATCAATTAGTTCTAATAAATTTTTACTAATATCACAGCTTTCAATAACTTATTTTTCTGCATGCAATTTAATTTGTTCTAAACAATAATTCGACTGTTCTACTGATTCTGTATTTTCATACTTCTTTCCTAAAAATTTTAAAATAAAATCGAGAAAACCAAGTCTAAATTAAAATTTTAATTTACCTAACTTCCAGCCTAATCTGCAACATTTTTCTGCCTCTTTAAGAATTCCTTTTTGCAACAGAATTAAACCCAAATTAGCATGGACAACTCCCAAGTGAGTCTTATCCTCTAATTTATTTCCCATAGTTACTGCTTCTTGTAAATATGTTTCTGCCTTATCGTAGTCCTCAGCTCTAAAGCTAGTTATGCCCAAATCATTTAGCAATAACATACTTTTTTCGCTATTCTCACCGTGAAATTCTTGGCAAACCTTATGAGCCTCGTTTAGATGATTTAAAGCTTTTTTCGTGTCGCCTATGTCCAGTAAATATTGGGCGTACCAATCATTGATAACTCCGTACAAAACTTTTGCATTTTCATTGGCATCTTTGTGTTTATCTATTTGCTCCAAGCACCACCTGTAGCCTATATCAGCCTTTTCTGTGTCTGCTTTCAGCTGACATATCCTGGCTAATTTTAGGCTTATATGAATCACCTACAAATGACTGCTTTAAAAGAAAAAGAACTTATTTATTCAACAATTACTGAACAGATATAAAAAAATATGTTACGGAATACCTTAAGATCATCTTCAGGTGTACCTTTTGATAAAAGCAGTTGTAAAACACTGACAAATAATTTTTCAGCTTTGTCTAGTTCATACGTATCAAATGCCAAATTACCCATTAAATCGTAACAATATAATATTCCTTGATCATTCATCTGTTGTTGGGCCAGCCTAAACATAATTATTAAACAAAGTAATTAGCAATTAGAAGTTCGCTTTACCTCAAAGCCAAATGAAGCATTTGTTCGGCTTTATCGTACTGTTCTCGTTGTTTACATAAGACAGCTCTTTTCAATGTCATTATCAATTCTGACTCTTTTTCTTCATCATCTTTAGCGAATCCCAGCCACGTTAATATACTGATCGCAAATATTAAACTAGGGTGTTTATTAAACTTGTAATAATAACTATCTGATAGTTTTGGAAAATTAAACGTAACATTATGCAATTTGACACTCCACAAATTGAGTCTATGTTTGAATGATATTTTTTGATTTGCAGACCAAAGAATTCGACAATTCTGAGGATTTTTTAAGAGAACTTTGCATATTTTCAACATTATTTACCCATGCAATTTCAAGAAAAATCACAAAAATTTAAACTTAACCTCAAGTGCCAAATAAATAGGACATTTAACAAAATAAAATAGAAACTTTCTACAGCTTAGTTTATCTACCCGTTAGCAGATGGCGCTAAATTAAAATATTTGAATGTAATAAAAAACCATGCAAAACATTATTTAATTAATTTTATTACAAATCGACGTTAAAAATGTTTAATGAGGATGCATGTGATGCAAAATTGATTTTTAAAGGCAGTCCGAATCAGAAAATTTGCCCAAATCTTCGAAATCGCTACAATTATCTGATGTATCATAATCGTCAAGGCTTGGCTCAGCTGGCTTATGGAGGGGACACAATTTATTGATTCTTCCTGAATTGTTACAGGGATGTTTGATTTTTTGCGGCAATTCGGGAAACAAAGGGTTTGACTTATTATGTGCATTTTGATAGGCGAGAGATCTTCCCCCAACGTCACTGTATCTATTATGGCATTCGTTGATTTTAACTTTCTTCTTTCCAAAGCCCAATTTTCTTATAAAGCGACGTTTTTGCAATTTTATTTTGTGAACGATTTCTCTGTAAAATCCTAGCGGTCCTTCTTCCCTAAAAACCATTATTTTATTAATAACAAAAAAATTCCATTCAAACAAAATTTTAAATTCGTATAAACAGTTTCAATACCACTATATACAGGGTGTTAGCCTAACCGCTAAAGACCTTCTACGTATTTTTGAAATCAAAATAAAAAATGCTACGTTGGCAACGCTGTGCCGGTCAAGCTTAATCACGCGACTAATAAAGTTTATTTGACTGTAGTAGGGCAGCAATAGACTCGAACAAAAAGCCCTGAACAAACATCATGGATATTAAAATTAAAATGCTAGAAATGTCAAAGTTATTTAAAAAAAATATCTATTTTGTATTATGATACGCAAAATGCTTTTATAGTTTGTTCAAATGAACGAATCGTAGAGTCAATTCAGTATGAGAAATTGAATCGAGTGATTGTATTCTCTAAAAAGAATATCGTTATATGCCCATCACTAATACGAAGCACTTATGTCGATTCAAAATATACGTAGTACTAGGCAGTAGGCAGTTCCACGGAATTTTGAAACACCTTGTATATTTCCATATACCGGGTGTGTCTCAAAAGCGACTCACTCTTGTTTTATTTTTTTTAGATAAAAACGAGATTTGGTAAGTTAGTGTATTGACAAATTAGGATTGATTGATGTATTCAATTGATTTTGGACACTTCCTGTTTCACCGAAAATGACTATGAATATATGTAATATACTAACTATGAAATGTATATACTATGTCACTAGATATGAATTATTATAATATGCAAAAAATCATTCTATCAATTAATAGTGTTACCACAGTTTAAAGAATATAAAAATATCAGTTGACCCACTCTTTGCCCGTATCAAAATTCCTCCCGCCGCTCCCCGCCTGTCTTGTAGGCTTGGGTCAGTCTACATCCGCTGCTCGACGTGTACACAGCGTTCCAAGTTTATTTTAGTTTTGTTTTCGGTCCGACGCATAGGGTGAACCAAAAATAGTGTTTTAGTTGTTTTATTCGAATTGTGAATAAAATGTCTACTAGAAATATTTGTGCAGTGGATGGTTGTGAAAGTAGAATGACAGACAATATATCGTTCTTTAGGTGTCCAAAAGATGAAGGAAGGTATGTGTTTATATAGTATAGGATATTAAGTATATAATAATTAAAGTATTAGACATATTAAGTATATTATAATTATGGAAATCTAACTATGAATAAATTGTTTTAAAAATATACATATAAATTAAGAAAATATTTTACTCGAAATATGCACAAAATATTTATTTTTAACAATTAGTTTATTATTTTAGTAGATATTTTAGAGTAGTAGTAGATACTTTACTATTATGTTTTGGATTTTACAGTATTTATCGGTTTGCAAAGTGCATATTAAATTATTTTTTAAGATATTTGCATTTTTTTAAATAGCATGTTTTACTTTTTAGATGTTTGTATTTAACTTTAACTATCTACCTGGAAAGTCCAAATTTTAGGACAACAAGTCAGGTAATAAAAATACGTGCACACAACTTGTTCTGCTATTGACAAATTTTTTAGAGTTTTTGCTAAATTTTATATAACAGTAAATATAAAAATTGACGAGCACATGGGAAAAACGATGAGTATCCAGAAATTATAAATGTTCAGGAAACCGTTTTTTTATAATTTAAGAAATATGCAAATTATTATTATATATATTAACTTATTATATTTATTTAGTATAATTTTTCATATGGTGTTTCCATAATAATTATTAATAATAATTACCCTATTGACAATTCCATATTCCAAAGAATTAGGATAGAATAATATATGTAAATTATTTTGTTGTAAAATTAACATGAATAAATTAGTATTATAAGATATTGTACTGAACTAAAATCCGTTATTTATTTCACATTTCAATTCATATCGTATTTATATTTGTAAACAATGAGATATGTTATTAAATAATAATAAGAAGAAAGTAAATATAAATATTGATCAATTATTAAAGACGCCTAAAACTGTTAATCAATAAAACTAGTACTGTATTTTTATTTTTCTACTTGCTATATTAAAATTCCTTAGTATTTTTAGTTGATCCCTCGTATACGGCCAGCGTTCTGACTGATAAAATAGCATTTCCGCTGCACCCGGTAAACGTACAATTTTTTTGTCACCTCGAAGGGTCACGGGCCGCCTTTGAAGTCAAAATAACAATAGAATTCCTTAGAGTGGGCCAACTGGTATGTATTCTTTAAACTGTGGTGTTACATTTGTTATTTTATGTAAATTGTGCTTACTTTAAAGTACGGAGATCGACCGTTCTACTGGCATGCAGGGCCGCTAGTAAGAAAAATATAGCCATAAAATAACTGACGTAAAATCCCAAGGTGTGGCTTTTCAATAGGTCTAGAATCGCATCTGCAGACCACTCAGTCTCTAAAAAAGGCAAGAACATCAAATATTCTATTTTAAATTTCATCAGTGCAGAAATAATGAATATGTAATGTGTGTATATACAGGGTTATTCACCAAATACGATACGGATTATTGTAGCTATTGTAAATATTTAGCATTAAACACTTTCATACTCTTGGAGAAATGAAGCCTAAAATTTTCAATACAACTTCACAAAATTGAATATATTTCAAAAACGGCAAGGTTGAAGTGTGATAAACCTTAATCAAATTTACCTTTATTTTAATGGTAGAAACTAAAAATGTAATAATTTACAGGGTGTTCCGTTTAAAAAAATACAACTTCTTATAATATTTTTTATTTATTTGGGACACTCTGTATCTTGTAAAAATATTTTTAAATTGTAGCTCTAATAGTCCTTCAATGAACCCAAAACTTACAATTTGTAAAAATCTAATCGTTTAGCTACAATACTCCGTGTCGTATGTGGTGAACAACCCTGTATAGTTTGCAAAGTAACCCAGTTGTAGACTAGCCGTTGGCTGCCTGCTATTTTGCAAGAATGCGCGGATTCCTTCAAAATAACAGCGCTTTTAGTTAGTTTGCAAAATAGCTGGCTAGTTTTAAAACTAGCCAAGTATCCATTTTAGCCGTAACACATCTAAATACTTGTCATTGAAATCTAAAAACTGTCAATTAAGCATTAAATAAATTTTAAAATATATTTTTTTATTTATAGAGATAAAAAAGGGCTTTCGTATGCCCCATCTTGACCTCTAAAAGAAACTATTTTTTTAGAAAGAGTATATCATAGTACGACAAATTATAACTATAAAAAAAATATAGTTGCCTGGATAAATATTCTAAACGATAAAATGGATCATGCATATACGATCATACAATATATGTGGTTTTTAGATTTATAAACTAATACAGTTCTCTTTTTTAACTATCCTTTATTACTCTTATATTTATTGTGAAAGTATTAATTATCTTAAAATTACATTTCTTTTACCTGAAAGCGATTCTTCAATGTGGTTAGCCAAGGCCGGCAGAGACTCTAATACCCATTTTTCCAACGGGAACCAGAAATCTGTAACCAACTGTTCCATAATGAACTCGGCGATAAGGAACTGAAATTCAAACATAACATTTTTTATTCTTTAAAGGGTCAAAGCAGGTGTGAATAAAATTGCCATATTTATGCTGTATCATTTCTGCAAATTGCAAACTGATCATTAGGGTGATAGTATTAGTAAAATGTAACGTAAACGATCTAGATAAGATATTTTTATATAATTTCATGTAGAGTTATAATTAATGTGTATGCATAATGAGTTTAATAAATGTCAATTAATTCATAGCTAACAATTACGCTAGTTTAATGTACTTTGTATCTAAAAATAGATGCGAAGAGTAAATCTTTATTATTGTGATTTTTCAAAATAAATGGAAATATACTATTCAAAATAATTCGCATATTAAAAAAAAGTAATTGTCATACAAGGTGGCGTCTCTCATATGATTCTGCAAAGAGAACGACGTTTGTATTGAAATCAAATTTTTTAGGTATACGTCTAATTTAAAGTTTTTTTGAATGAAGGGAAACTTTTTACGTGCGTTGCGAGTAAAATTTCAAGGCCTTGACACACGAAAAATTCATGAATTTTTCATGATCTTTATGAAATTTAGTATTTGGCTTATTATATAGGGTTAATTGAAGGGTTGTTTTTTACCTAAACTTTATTACAGCACAGACACCTTGTGTCTGTGCAAGAATTTCGTGAGTACCTTTTCCTAAAACATTATTTTTCGATCAGAACCGTATCTCCTGAGTATTTCGTTTTTTGACTTATGTCAACAAATGCCTTGCTTAATTTTTAAGAGCAAAATAAATTACCACCAACAATTTGCAATTCTTTCAACTCGCATTACTTTTGTGACTATTGTGGTAATGTCATATCGACACTGATTAGAACTCTACAGGGTGGCGTCTCTCATACGCCGCGGAAGCTCCAAGGAGAACGGTAGTTTATATCGAAATAAAATTTTGCCAGCATATGTATAATGGAAGCATTTTATAAAAATATATAAAATTATACAGGGTGTCCCCGAAAAAAGGTACACATCAAAGTTGAGTTTTTTTTCTAATGGAACACCCTATATATGAATTGATTTTCGGATTCTAGGAAAAAAATAAAGGGGAGTTTTATTAAAGAAGCGTATACCTAAAATCTAAGGATTTTGACATATTTCACATTTTGTGAAAATGTAGAGTAAATTTTAAATTTCGATAACAGCTACCTAAATTTTAGTTGACCTTGTATAGCCTGATATTTAATTACAGTAACTATTGTATGCTAAACCAAATTGAAATTTGACCCGAAAAGTTATACAGGGTGAGAAAAAATTAATATGGAATATTAGTCACTTTTAAAAGCAAGTTACTCCTTTATTTTAAATAGAACACCCAATATATTATTCCGGTGTTCAATGGGAAATTTATATATGTATCTTCAAAATATTATTAAGGTTGACTACTTCTCAGACAAAGATTTTCCTTGATATTTTAATTTTTATGATTTTGCGTAAGTACCTAGATCTTTATTATTTGAAAAAATCTAGGGTGGCTGTCTGTGATATACCTTTTCTTAATTTAACAAAAATTAAAGATTGTAGAGTAAAATACTCAATACACATTTAAAACATATTTTAATTATTACACAATTAAAACTAGATATAAACCTATAATTATGCGACAAAAATTAGCTAGATGAAATCAAATGCTCAAAATGCTTCCTTTCCTGTTAACTGCATAAAATAATTGTCTTTTCAAAAGGATCTTTTCATTTTAAAAGGCATATGTGGAGTTCTACCTCGAAAAGCAGCTACAATAATTTCTCTCACACAACACAAACTCATTAGGCATGTGATTATCAACAACTTTTATCTGAAGACTTTTTGTCTAAAATAGATTATAATGGAATTAGGGACAATTTTTAAAATAGCCAAAATTTGTTTTTTTTTCAAAATATCTAGTAAGCCATGAACTTTTTCAAAAATCTGAAAGGCGATATGATCCCACAAAACTGCAATTCTTTCCCCATTTAACCGACTCTTTATCTCCAGTATAGAAACTCTATCTCCATAGAGAACATCGTAGGAAACCCATCTTGTATTTATGCGCGATACGTGGAGCCTGGCAAATAGAAAATGCCTGAGTTTAACCTAGGCATTTGGCATTTGGCTAGCGAAATCAACAAATATCAAATACCTGGTCAGATAGCAAAATCGTTCTTTTTACTATATTTGTTATTTTCCATGGCGCATAACAAATGCATAGGCAAACGAATATCAGCTTTATGCCTACGACATATCCTAAATTTCAAATCTAAACATACTTTACCTCGATTATGAAATGTAATTTGCCAAGTCTTCTAAAGTTCCTGGGATACAATCGCAGACTCCACAACAGTATGAAACCGGTGAATATGAAGATGTACAGTGCCATCAGGGGTCCGTCTCCCACTTTTGCCGGCTCCCGAAACAGTTGCAGCGCGAACCCATTTAGTACGGCCGCTGTCACACAGGGAAGAAGCATACCCATGTTGACGTCACGAAGTACACGAGAATTTTGCGAGGGGTGGTTTTAGTCTACATTAGATCATCGAATTTTCTAATCGACTATAAATTTTGACAGTTAGATATGTAAAAATCTTTGACACATAAGCGTCATTTTATTAAACGTGCTTATTTACCGGTGTTAGAAGTGGTGCTTATTCTTGGTATACAGGGTGACTCGAATTCTACGCTCATCATTGGGATTTCGGAAACCGTAAGAGATACAGGATCGGTTAAATGGAGGCAAAGTTGCGCAATTTCATGGTAAATAAAATGTCGTATTGCATTTTTATTTTTTTTGCATAAAATATTCTGGTGATGGAATTTTCTGTACGAAACGTCAGCAAATATCAAAGTGACTATATATAGTGTTTTAAGAGTGATGAAAGGATTTAATTAAATTGAAAAAAAAAATCAGGTCCGAATTTAAAAAAGTTAAGTTGATGATGGTCGCCAGAAGCCGAAACGTCAGAGAAAGTGGCCATGAAAATGTGTATTTCATTTTAAGTTATCTTAACAAATAAAGCCAGGAAACAATAGAAAACAAAATTGAAAATTCCGTTTTTTTTTTCGAATATATTCGGAAGTATTCGGAATTTTTCAAAATGCAATACGGCATTTTATTGAGCATCAAATTGCGCAACTTTGCCTCTATTTAACCGATCCTGTATCTCTTACGGTTTCCGAAATCCCAATGATGAGCGTCGAATTCGAGCCACCCTGTATACAGGGTCCGGCAATAGTGTGTCGGGCATCTGTAGCTCCTAGAATAAAAAAATTGGTTTGGTTTGGTGCAAATCTAAAGTATGTACTAGGATGTATATCAGGAAAATATTTTAACTATCTACAGGGTGGTTAAAAAAAGTGTCAGTGGATCTGGATGATTTTTTAAATAAAACACCCTTTATATTATTGCATTTTTGGCTTCCTTTCAGATTACTTTATATAATCCTAAGATATGAGTAAATATATTTCGATAGTTTCAGAGATATTAATAAATGCATTAGAAAAATATATTTTTCAGTCTTTCTTAAAAAAATTATTAAAAATACAAGAACAATCCGGAAATCAAAACTATATTAGGCATTTACTTTAGATGGTCTGTCCTGACTTTGCTATAAATATGGTAATCGTAAATCATACAGGATGCTCAAAGTTCTACGCCAAACTTTCTAAAATATACAATAATTTTCCTTCGTTTTTTTTTTTTCAAATAAAACACCCTGTATATTATTTCTTCGATAGATGGAGAATTAAAAAATGAACTATATTTTGATTCTTGAATAGTAAATTATAATACAAGTTAGACCTTCTGAAGATATCAAAATATCTCACAATATTTTTGATTTTTTTTTAGAATTTTCATAAATTATTATATTTCACAAATATTTTTCGTATATTCGCTATTTAAACCCCTGTATTTGTTTAGTTCGCTGTTTATAGTCTTTTCTATGGTGGCAGCATAGGCGGAAAATTCACCAAGCCTATACCGGGTGTATCTCAAATGTGGCTCCCCCTATAACTTTTTTATTTTTTCAGATAAAAATCGAAATTTGGTATGTTAGTATATGACATAAATTAGGATTGATTGACGTATTCAATTGTTTTTGGTCACTTCCTGTTTCACCGGAAATGACTACAACATTTGATTTTTAAATGGCACCCTCGGTATTTTTTTATTTTATTCGATAGACAATGACATTCTGAATAGAATAACATATGATATGTCAACTTTTGACATTCTCGCTTAAAACAAAATTAAATTTTAAAATTCAATCTAGAGTGCCATGGTTATGTTAAAAATACTAATTCTTAATCAAAGAGCCTTGGAAAAATAGATTTGATTGTCTATGTTTTTAGTGCTTTTCCTGGCCAGTTAGAAAATGCTCATTTCGTATTTTTAATCATTTTTCAATTTTTTCAAATGGAACGAGGGTGGCTCATTAGCATATTTTAAAAAAGCATTTTGTTATGAATAATTTGGTACCACACACTTGGTATTTCGAGTCAAATTTTCGTTACGAACGAGCAAGTTTTAATTTGAAATAAACCATATGCGAAAATGTCAAAAGTTGACATATGATATGTCATTCTATTCAGAGTGTTATTTTCTATCGAATAAAGTAAAAAAGTACCGATAGTGCCATTTAAAAATCAAAAGTTGTAGTCATTTCCGGTGAAACGGAAAGTGAGAGAAAACAATTGAATACGTCAATCAATCCTAATTTATGTCATATACTAACATACCAAATCTCGTTTTTTTTAACTGTAAAAATAAAAAAGTTCTAGGGGTGAGCCACTTTTGAGACGCACCCGAGAGCTATTAATTATTATTATTAAAATGAGAATATTATCACTTATAGAAAGATTCATAAGAATAAAGTTTTAATGTACAATTAGGTACAGTAACTCTACCATTTTATTTAAATATCGAGATAAATATGAATTTTGATCAAAATATGCATATATACCAAAAGAAAAATCAGCAGATATAAACCAAAGTTCAATGGTTCTTGTTACAACATCTGTTTGCGAAATAGCTCAAGGTTTTGCATCACACACTTCAGAGAAAGAACAATTATTAGAAATCAGTCATGTGTATGCACCTCTTTTGCATCTAATAAAAATTGTAACGATGGAGACACTGCACCCATTTCTTGTAAACTACATAACAAAACTTTTGTTATATTGCGGCTATTGAAATCGAAGAACAATATGAATTATAATTTTTTTTTTTTGTTTTCACTCTTGGCTTTAGGTCGTTGGGGTTGTAAAGATGTTTCTAGATTTTGTTCATTATTTTTTTATTTTGTGACGACGTTTCGACAGTATATGTCTTTTTCAAGCCTCTTGAACGTAGATTCTTACAGAGTTAAAATTTATTGTGTTGTCCAGTTTAACAAATTTTAACTCTGTAAGAATCTACGTTCAAGAGGCTCGAAAAAGACATATACTGTCGAAACGTCGTCACAAAATAAAAAAATAATGAACAAAATCTAGAAACATCTTTACAACCCCAACGACCTAAAGCCAAGAGTGAAAACAAAAAAATATATAGTATACAGGTCAAAGAAACGAAACAAAAAAAAATGAATTATAATTTCGTACTATTAAGTATGTAGGTACAGGCTTTTTAGAGGTATTTAATACGATACCTGTTGGAACATAATAAGTAATAATAGGAACAACAAGTAACTAGACTCTATTTTTGGAAGTCCTTGTCTTCAATAATTATCTATAGTGTTTTGGTAAGCAGGGCCCTAATGCTTATTTAAACCTAAAACTTCCTTTATCTTATTCCGAGTTAGTAAAAATTACCATTGCTAAAAGATTGCCTAATTCTGTATACAGTAGCGAGATTATAATTTTTTCGATTTTTTTCTTCTTAGAACTCGCATTTTATTTTCTAGAAACATGGAGAAAAGAAGGTAGTTTTTCCTTTTTCTGAAAATTTGAGACAGTATTAGATAATTTTCCACGACACTTGTAGTTTTTATGATAACCCTGTAATATATTTAAATACTTCTAATTTCTTTATTTAAAATGAAATGAAAACAAAATGAATTTTTAAAAATTTCAAAATTTGAAAACACTGACTCTTCCTTCTTTATTCATTTTTGAATCCGTTTGCTGAATCCGCAAGCACATATCTCCTATTCCCGAAAGGCCAGAGTACCATCTTTATCTGCCAACTCTGAGTTCAGAACTAGTTAAAGCCTCAATACTGTACAATGGCAAAAAATGTACAATCATCTGCCTTTGAATATCAAGTCGCTTTCATTCTTTCCCGCATTTCGCAAAGCTCTAAAATCATACTTACTGGAGAGTACTTACCTATATGCAGTAAACGACTTTTTTGTTGATGTTTAATCATGAACAATTTTGAATTTTAAAATTTTGATCCCACACCCGGTATTTCATCAGCCGACTATTTTTGTTAAAATAAAAATAGTTTGGATACCTAGGTCGACTCAGCCTTAAATGAGTACTTGGGATTCACAATCCTGAGGTAATAGGCGGTTGAAGCGTAATGCTAGCCCCATTACCTTCCTTGTATACCGAACGACTCTAGTATGACAAGCTGTACATTGCTACTCCCAAGGCGTTAAACGGGAGCTATTATTATTATTAAAATTTTGATCATCTCATACACTGGTGAAAAGTCGAGTATTTAATTTTATAACTCTTAAAATTATATCCATTTACAATTTTCCTCTTGTAAAATTTTATTAGTACGCCTTTTTTTTGTATTCTGGAATCCATGTATGTTCTATTTGTAACTATAATGACTTAATTTTATTTTTTTGAATTGTATGATTTTTATTGTATATTTTTTTATTATCTATTTGTATATTTTTTGTGCTTTTGTTTGTTTTGTAAATGCTTTGTCGATGAAGCTATTTTAGCCCTTTGCACAATAAAGCGTTATTTATTCTAAGCAACAAATCTTACTGGTTAAATTATAATTGCAATATTTTTTGTGGAGATTAAAAAAACTAAAGAGTAAATATAAAATTTACTATAAATCTAGAGGGGAATGAACTATTAATTGCCGTATGCAAATTTAATTAACAAAAGCATTTAATTGAAATTCATATTCAAACAATCTCGGTATATACATATTACGCTTTAGTTCTGACCAGTAGTATTAGGCACAAGGTCTACTTTTAACTGATGCGGTTTGAGAAACCATTTACTTAGATTTTATTAGTAATAATTTTAACCGACAAAACCCTCGACAAAACCTAACCACAAGGTCACATGAACAGACCACACGTTATTTTAAAAAGTAACAACCAACAAAATAAAATTCAAATATATTAACTTTTTTATATTTATAAGCCATTAATTTGAACCTACCAATACAGAATAATACAAATTATAAACTAATATAGTGTTTTGTATCTTTTCTTGTATATTAAAATGTATAATTTCCCATCATATTCACCAATCTCCTAAAAACTATGTTTATACTAAATATACACACATGGCCAAAATTATTGCATATAACGATATATTTATTTTATTATGATTCTTTTTATATTTTTGGACATATTAGCTTACTACACGACTAACTAATATAAAATTAAAAATATAAGTGCAACTAGGCTGTTATTA